ATAAGATTATCGTTTTCCAGCGACATCCATAAGCTATATTACACATAGGACTCGCAACCTACTCCGGCCTGGATTTCTGCGATGACGCCCACCCTTGGTTATACCGTTGTCGAATTCGGTGTCTAAAGACCTGGCAACTATTCCCCTTGGCCTTATTGTTCAGCGGTCGAAGATGTGACAACTATTCCGCCGTCCTCTTGGCCTTTTGACTAGACGTAGGAAAACGTGTGCCAACTGTTCCGCTTTCCCGTTGGTATATTCCGTTTGGAAACACGTTCTTCTTGCGTGCGAAACTTTTCTTTCCGGTTCTGGAATCTTTTTTTCCGGTGTTGGAACGCGATGCCGTCGAACAGGCTTCGTGACTGACACCTAGCGATAGACGTTCACCGGCTGTCGGCGCTATTAAGAACGTGATCGACAGCGTGATATCCGATGAATTTCACAGATATGACGGTAAATAACAACAATAATTGCGTTGTAGCGAAAACGACGGAGAAATATTATTATACCGCAGCGTTTACAATAAATCGTTCTAATGATTTTCGTCCGGCGTAATATAAGTCGATATAAAATCAGTAGGCATAACATTGAATCGTTTTCGGCAGTACACTCGTCCGGGTGTATCGTAAAAAACGTGGCCCTTTGGATACGCGTTTAGTGTACAATAAAACCAAGGCCAGCACAAAACCCGCGTGAAAACTTACAATTATTATGCGATCGGCGCTATTGATATTTTCGCTGTTCTGTTCGCACGATAATAACGTTGTCCTGGGTTGTGTCGAAGTAGGAAGTATCGAGTCGTTTTCGTATACACAGAGTCCACGTGAGCAAATTTTAAATACGAACGGACATTGTACTTGTGTAATTTTACGGTAAATGGACCGGCTTCTCTGTAACCCTCACGAATGGACGGGTCGTTTTGCAATTTACACGGGTTGATCCGTATGTTATGTATTTGATACTTTTTTAAATTTTGAGTTAAAATGATTGATGAATCAAATAATTTCAGCCTGGGTAATATGCAAACTCATTAGCATAGTTTTTACTCGAAACGCGAATTTTTTTCAACAACGTATACTCTCGTACGCATTTTTACCAAAGGTCTGAGATGGTTTTCGGTTGTGGTGAATAAAAATCAAATGGTTTTTTTTTATTTTTTCGCTTTATTACTATATTATCGTTTTTTTTTATTTGCGTTTATGAGTTGTATTACACATACGGATCGCAACCGTCTTCGGACTTGATTTTTGCGATGACGCCGCCCTCGGCTTTACCGTCGTCGCATTCCGCGTCGTAAGACGATTGTTTGACGATTGTTTCGCCGTCCCCTCGGTCTTCCGGTCCAAAGACGTCGTGGCCACACGACCGTCCGGCGCCGGAAGCGCGGGGAACTTTTACTTCTACCGGCTCGAGAACTCTTTCTACCGGCTCCGGAACCTCGCGCCACGGTTTCGGAACGCGGTGGCCGCCGAACCGGCTCCGTGACGGCCGGGCCACAGACGTTCACCGTCCCCGGCGACATCGCAAACAAAAAAGCAACGCACGGCCTGATAGCGAACGTGCACGATAGACGGGCGTATCACAACAATAATTACGCTATAGCGCGACACGACGGCGCGATAATATTACCGCCGCGGATCCGCGGTCTGGATAATCGACCGGCACGCAATCCGGTTTCTCGCGAAAAACAACGGCAATTATTATTCAATCGTCGCCGTTTATTTTTTTTTCCGCACGAGACGGTAACGTTATCCCCGGAACCCGCGGGGATGTGGGCATGGAGTCGATTTCGCACACGCCCTAGTCCTCGTCGCGAGCGAGTTTTAAATACGAACGGACGCAAAGCCCGCGTAGTTTTACGGCAAATCGTCCGGCCTCCGCGTGATCACGCCGTTGTATATATCGAGGTGATCGGATTGGTGATTGCAGGTTCGGTCCGTCTGCTCGTGGATTTCGTTTTTAAGGTAAAATTGGGCGTGGACATTGGATGTTCACTAAAAAATGTCTGACCAAAAAAAAAAAAAAAGAACAATTTATTTTTGCGTGTGGTCGGTTGATGGGTGGGCGACCGCCCGAGAGGCGCCTACGATTTTCAGGCCTTCACAAAATGCGTATAATCGAGTTCGCGCGTCAATACGGTACGAATTTACAATATGTGTGACTGTGTCATTGTACGAATATACGATATTAGTTAGTGACTATTAAATACCATAACGCGAGTAGATTAGGTATTGTACGCATTCGTTGCAGATCGTAATTTCAGACGTTTTCCTCGTACATAGAATCGGCGTGATAAGGGGCATAATCGACGGACGCCCGGGTCTATTTTTACCCCGGTCCGCCCCCGCTAACCCCGTCCGTACCTCTCGTAGTCGCACGGACAAATTTACAATACGCGTTGTCGTTATTGTTTAGTTACCCGCCCACCTATCGATTAACACTCACCAGTCTCTACGGTTCCCATACGGACTTAAGGCGCCAAGCGACTCTTGGGCAACATGCACTGACACTATATTGATGTATAACGTTTCCGCGAGTGATATGATTTTCGGTTTAATTCACACCGCTCCTGTTAATAATAATTATTATCGTTGTTGTAAATCCGCCCGGTCTTATACCGGTCGGTCCTAAGTACGCATTAATTATTACGGTTTGTTCGTTTATTACACTGACACGTATCGCCGCACACAGTAAGAAGCGTGCGACGTTTCGCACCCGTCGGGTTAGGTATTCGGTTAGGCGCCTACATTATGACGGGTACGGTGTATGCCTATCTGCCTGCTTGTATACATGCTCGTAATATTTCGTTGCGGTGCACTTTATTTACCCGGGTATACCCGTTTGCACCGCCCTCGAGAAACAATCGAGTGAGTGTAATAATAATTTTTTTTTTTTTAATATTTGAACGGAGGCGTGTGTCGAACAAAGCAAAAAGAAATATCGTGATTATTGTAATCGACCGGAAAGTAGAACGCGATTCGTCAGCTCGTTCGCGGAAAATTTTTCAATATTGGAAATACTAAATAAACACCCGAATCGCGGCGGTAAAACGATGAGCGCATAATATTATTGTCACGATAATTGTATTATACATTATTATTATAAAAAAAACGACATAGGTGTCACGTTACAGGCGAGCGTCACGTGTTTTGAGAAATATTTTATAGGGTAAAGTCGAATTGCACTCGGGTTAAAAAAAAAAAAAAAACCACACGAGTAACAGAGCTCCGTCACTATCATAGTCCTGTATTCCACACCCAGCTGGCTGTTTCAGATTCTGAGTATAGCGAAGAATGTATTGGTTTTACGAAGATGTATATTTTTTTTTTTTCATGTGTAAAGACCCGTTTTTCTACCAGGAAGCTTACTTTTGTATACGATGTAGACCTTTTACTGAAAGTAAATCTTATGCTTATTACCTTACCGTAATATGACATATTTTATCGTGAATTTCTGTTTTCACGAAAAGATAAAGCCAAGCACAACGTCTAAAAATGATTCAGTTGCACTACGCAAACGCATTGTGAAATTTACACGGGTTGATCACAGTATGACAGTATGACAGTATACAGATAAACTTTTGTAAATTTCAAGTTGATTAAATGATAACAGCCTGAGTAATACGCAAAAATGTTAGCATAGTTTTTACTCAAAACGCTATTTTTTTCAACGATTCAACAATGTATATGACGTACACGTTGTTACTATATGATTGGGACAGTGGCCGTTTGCGGTAAATAAAAAACAATTTGTTTTTTTTATTTTGTCGGTTTATTACTACTATATTATCGTTTTCCATCAACACGCATAAGCTTTATTACACATAGGACTCTTAGCAATCTTTTTCGCATTCGGTTTCTGTGATGATGAAACCGCCCTCAGTTTCATCATCGTCTGACTCCGCGTCGTAAGACGTAGTAATTATTCCGCTGTTCCCTTGGTCTTTCGTTTCGGAAACATGTTCTGCCGGTGTGGGAACCTTTTCTATCCGTTCGGGAACTTTTTCTTCCGGCTAGGGAACCTTGTTTTTCCGGTTTTGGAACGCGATGGCTGCTGAATAGGCTCCGTGACACCTGGCGGCAGACGTTCACCGTCGTTATCAAAAAATCAATCGACATTATGCTATTGAATGTATTTGGATGGGTATAGTGGTATAGAAAAATAATAATAATAATTATTGCGTTAAAGCGCGAACGACAGAGAAATATCATTACACTAAAGTGTAATTTGGATATGTGGTTCGTTGATCACTTCTTACGCTTCGAAGATTATCCGATCGAAGTTGATCTGTGCGATAATCTCGGAGATTTTTCGTTGTCAACCGAGCTGTTTTACGGGCTGCCTCACGTTGCTCTTGTATTTGAGAAGCACAAAGTCGGGCCATACTAACGCCGTGCTCTTCTCGTGCGATTTTTCGTACTCCGTTTGGTGGTTCGATTTTATCAAGTCTAATTGCGTTACGGATTTGTTGGGGAATATTGCATCTTCACAGTACCGACATTTCTGGAAAAATAAAACGATGTCAAGTTGCTCGGGAAACGGAAAAAAAAATAATGTTACGTAACTTTAATACGATTATTTTTAAACCGTTCAAATAATATCTTTCTAGATTTTTTTGATTTTTTTCGTGTGTGTTTCCGGTATTTTAATAGTTATTCTGCTATTCGAGGTGGAGACGAATCAAAACAATCGGAGATCATCAAAATCGGTTTAGTCATTATTCAGTTATAAATGGTGTAGCTAACCCGGATTTTGTTTTATTTACATATAGACGGAGCAAAATTTCATTTACAATATTCGAACCAATATGACAGTCGCATATAGCATTTTGATAAATTTAAATATGACTATCAACTGAATTCCATTCAAAGTTGGTTTTTCGTAAACAATGTAAATATCCTTGTTTACAGTTATACATTAAATGACATATAACAGTGGCTGCACCCGTCCCCGTTACCCTAAGACTTCTTTTTCAACTGTAGCCATATGTTCATTTTTGCTTATGGATCATTAATTGAAGTTTGTAATGGCAGTTGAAACTCGTTAACTATGTTTACAACAGCTAACAAACAATGACCACCAGAAATATGTATTTGTAAATTTTGATCTACTAGCCTTGAAGTCAATGTATGTGTTTTCATATGACGAATAGGAACCGATGGCTTAAATGATTGTTTACATAATCCTTTTTCATAGTTTGTACCGACGAACATTGATATGGCCGGGCCTTGTCTTACTGTGACAGCGATAACGTCCAAGTCTTTCGAACTAACTTTATCTCGCTGTAATGCCTGGGTCGTGACGTTGTTTATGTTTTGCCCGCGTAAGTCCCTGGCTACAGATGTGATTAAGCTCACGAAACTAAAGAAACGGCAATTGTATTTCAATGTTATACGGAACAGTCAGTAGTTACATACACAAGGTGTAGAGACCGCAGTCATTTTCCGAGAATGTTCCTGCCGCTGTCCACTACTGCACACCGATTATCATCGCAACTCATCTCGATGCCTAATACATTTTTGTACGTTTTGTGTATATGCTGAACGTTCTGGTACAACTGGACATTGTACAATAGTCGCAATCGATGAATAATCGTAGTAAAACGACACGAAACTCGACTGAAACAGTCAAAAAGTACTCATAGTAAATAAGTGCCCAAAGCGAATAGTGGCCCTACTCGCGATAGTGGCGATGATTTATTACAAACGAAAATGTCGTGCGCATATTAACTATTATTTCTGTTGGAAACCATATAGGAATGTTCTAAATACATAAGAGATATATCGGGAATCGGTGAATCTTAACGTCAACAATAACTATACGCGTTTGTGCGGCCATGCTGGAGAGATCACGTCTGTAACGTTCTCTTTGTTGATCACACAAATATTTTCTTTTTAACCATTTTTTTTTTTTTTATGTTTTTGTCGCATATTATAGCCCATTTTAAAATTTTTAGGAGATATGATAGCGCTTATTTCAAGACTTTCCTAAGTCATATTATAGCGCATATTTCAGTTATTTTCAGTGCTATAAAAACCGAGCTCTAAATTAAGGTCTGTTATGACTTTAGAAACTGTGAATGTTTGTTTAAAATTTCGTCATAGTAAGACAGTCCAGTACAGCGTCTAGGATTTCTGGAATGATTTACAGAACTATTCTTCCGGGAAACTTCTACCGGTTCTGGAACTATTTCTTCCAGAATATGACGGATATGACGGTATATAACAACAATAATTGCGTTGTAGCGCAAACGACAGTGAAATATTATTATACCGCAGTGTTTACAATACATCGTTCTAATGATTTTCGTCCGGCGTTATATAAGTCGATATAAAATAAGTAGGCAAAACATTGAATCGTTTTCAGAAGAACACACGTCCTGGTATATCGTAAAAACGTGGCCCGTTGGATTTAGTTGATAATCGGCCAGCACAAAATCCGTGTGAAAAATTACAATTATTATGAAAATATTTACGTTCCACATAACTGACCAACTGAACACACAATTGACAATACATTTGACAAATTTGAAATCCAAATTTCATTATCCAGAGCCACGGTTGCTGGGCAGAGCCAAGTAAAAAATAGATAGGGCGTACTTCGACCACAGTATATTACACGAGACGACCAACTCCCATTTTACCGGTATAAATGTACGGCAAATTTTCCGCCTTTGTGCAGCCCGAACTAATGGACTGGTTGTTTTGAACATTAAACGGGTTGTATGTTAACCTATAATACCTAACAGTATGTTAGGTATTTTATATTTTTTTAAATTTCAAGTTGATCGCATGATGAATGTCTGTGCAATAAGCAAAATTCTTTGAACAGTTTTCACTCGAAACGCTATTTTTTTCAACGATTCAACAATGTTGTACACGTTGTTACTACTTGTTTGTGACAGTGGCCGTTTGCGGTAAATAAGATTATCGTTTTCCAACAACATCCATAAGCTACATTACACATAGGACTCGCAACCTACTCCGGCCTGGATTTCTGCGATGACGCCCACCCTTGGTTATACCGTTGTCGGATTCGGTGTCTAAAGACCTGGCAACTATTCCCCTTGGCCTTATTGTTCAGCGGTCGAAGATGTGACAACTATTCCGCCGTCCTCTTGGCCTTTTGACTAGACGTAGGAAAACGTGTGCCAACTGTTCCGCTTTCCCGTTGGTATATTCCGTTTGGAAACACGTTCTTCTTGCGTGCGAAACTTTTCTTTCCGGTTCTGGAACCTTTTTTTCCGGTGTTGGAACGCGATGCCGTCGAACAGGCTTCGTGACTGACATCTAGCGACAGACGTTCACCGGCTGTCGGCACTATTAAGAACGTGATCGACAGCGTGATATCCGATGAATTTCACAGATATGACGGTAAATAACAACAATAATTGCGTTGTAGCGAAAACGACGGAGAAATATTATTATACCGCAGCGTTTACAATAAATCGTTCTAATGATTTTCGTCCGGCGTAATATAAGTCGATATAAAATCAGTAGGCATAACATTGAATCGTTTTCGGCAGTACACTCGTCCGGGTGTATCGTAAAAACGTGGCCCTTTGGATACGCGTTTAGTGTACAATAGGCCAGCACAAAACCCGCGTGAAAACTTACAATTATTATGCGATCAGCGCTATTGATATTTTCGCTGTTCTGTTCGCACGATAATAACGTTGTCCTGGGTTGTGTCGAAGTAGGAAGTATCGAGTCGTTTTCGTATACACAGAGTCCACGTGAGCAAATTTTAAATACGAACGGACATTGTACTTGTGTAATTTTACGGTTAATGGACCCGGCTTCTTTGTAACCTAAACGTTTGGTCAGATTTTTTTGAAATTTGCACGGGTTAATCAGCATGTTATGAATATGATACTTTGGTAAATTTAATATTTATCGGATGATTACAGCTTGAGTAATATGCAAAAGGATTGGTATAGTTTATCAATTTATTACTATATTATGGTTTTTGAGCAACATTTATTGGCTTTATTACATAATCGTATCCGGACTGCATTTCTGTGATGATGCCACCCTCGGTTTCACCATCGTCGTATTCCGCGTCAGAAGACTTAACAACTATTCCACTTTCCTCTTGGTCTTTTGTTTCGATAACATGTTCTTCTGGAGTGTGAACCTTTTCAACCGTTTTGAGTACTTTTTCTTCCGGCTCAAGAACTTTTTCTACTGTTTCTAGAACATTATCTTTCGGTTTTGGAACGTAATAGCCGCTGAACAGGCTGCCGCCATCTGAAGAGGTTCAAAAGCTGCCATTACATCCAGGCAAACTAACCGTTTGTTGTGGTGTTTTGAAATTGGTTGAATCAATGGTCCATATTTTTTTTTAAAAATGTTACCGGACAAACATAACTGTATATTATACCCGATATCCACAGTTACGGCCACATTTGATAAAAACAATATTTAAAACATACATTTAAATGATATTTTGTAGGGTAATAAAAATAACTAGATGAAATTGAATATTGTATTAATTTTTTTTTTACTTTTAAATAAATTTAAATGTAAATGAATCACCCAATTTTATTAAAATTATGAAATAAATTATTTTGATGTTATTATTTTGTTTAGTGGTTCTTAAGCCGTAGTCCGCTTTGGCTTTGTTACTGAATATTGATAATTTAAACATGAGACTTTACATAAAGAAAATAAGGTATTTATTATGGAAACCGCGATATCCAAAAGTCTTTTTGGGGTTTCATAATGGATTGAGTTACTTTAGAGTTCATGTGTATTAATATTTAGTGAATAAATTGTACATTTTTCTCTACAGTATACACTGATATGTATATATATAAAACCATCAATAATTTTTATTCGATCATTTTAATTACAGTTTATCAGAAAATAATACATAATAATGTATACCAAATAAACTATTCCCCAAGAATCTAAGATAGCCACGAGTCTGTGAAATTACATTAAAATTGTATAATTTTTTATTTTGTTCATTAATTGTGATAGCCGTGGTCCACAAAAAATAGGCCGATTGCCACATTGTGGTCACTGGGCTGCGTGTTTGACACACACGTTCTACTTTTATTCAAGTTTTAAGTAGGTTTTTAGTCAATAATTTTCCTTTGGTTTTTCTCGAAATAAATTTATTTATTAGTAATAAATATCGGTTATCGGTTAGTGATCTGACCGGAGGAACGTGCTCAAAGTGCTTAATGGAAACGATATACCTGTGGCCTTATCTCTTTCTCGACTGTCCCTGACAAGACAAACTATAAAAGTAAAGTATAAATTGGATCGAAAGATAGTATTGTGAGAAAAGTAATTCCCAAGTCGGAGCGGTCTAATAAAAGTTTCTAAATCTAATCAACCGTTAAATGGATCACCGAGATAAAATATATCACCAAAACCTGCAACTGAACATTATACGGCGATTGACGATCCACGAACTTCATTAACCCGAGAACCAATAAAGGACGAAACGACTTCTATCGCTTTAATTGATCCTTGTAACGAGTCACTGAACGATGAAAATACACATTTAAGGTGCCATTGTCAAAGAAATTCCTGTTAGCAAATCTTCAAATACTACTGAAAAAAAAAAACAGACGAAATGGTCAATATTCCGTGCAGTCATAATTTCAACGAATATCTGGGTACCGATAAAGAACATTATAATTAGATTGTTTAATGTCAAAAAAAAATTTAGTATAAACGAAAATTTAAATACAGATCAAAATACAATACCTAGTTTTAAATATATTTAGAACTATAGTAAGTTTATATCTTATACTTATATATATATATATATATATATATGACTTTACGAAAATAAAAGAAAAAATTTGTTTTTATGTTAATTGCTAAGTTAAAACGGTGAGTTCTCCGGCAACAAGCTCTGAACCCTTCCCCACACAAGGTTAGGTTAAGTTAAATTACTCCAAGGGACGCTATTTTTTTTTTTTTTTAAAACCATTTTATTTGCTTTTGTAATTCTATCGTTGTATATATTGATGAAAAAGCAATACTATTTCGTTAGCAATGATAAATTTTTGCTGACAAATATACATTAAATTATCTCCTATATCCTTCCTTCCCAACTTCCCATGTAAAACAGCGGACCACCCATCATGCGAAGTGTATCCGTCTTTTTCTGTCTGTTAACACGATTTTGACTGGTTCCAATCAAAAACAACATATATTTTCATTATTATTATATTATTATCTTGAATATACTTGTATTTGGCATTATATTGAAATTTTATATTCTCTGCACCCTTCTTAATGCAATTCTCATTTCCTAAATTCTCGATCTGTTGGTTTAGCTTTGAAGTTATTACGATTACAAATGCACGATTATAATATTATAACTTATTGTAGAGTAAATACTCGATTGTTAACATTGAAATCATAATTTTAGATTCTCAGTGGAGTGAAGAGGCTTATAGTTTCATAAAGATGTTTGTTTTTTATTTTATTTTTTTTATCCGTGCGCAACTTTTGTACCAGATATCTTGCTTTAATTTTTTATGTGTAGCAACTTTTCTAAAAGTAAATCTGACTGAGGAGGTACTTTTAGGTCAGTTTTTGATTTCTCCATGATTTTTATTAACAAATGGGAAAAACCAGGAAAATTGGTACATTAAACAAATATTATTAAAGAAAATGTGTATTGCTTATTGATTATTTTACCGTAATATGACATACATATTGCTGACAAAGCATCACTATCAACTAAACTCCTCTCAGAATCGTTTTTTCATTAGTATTGGTTTTTCGATACAATAGTGGCTGCGTCCGTTTCCATTATCCTAGAACAGCATTTTATCATTTTTTTTAAACATGTATAATGTATCAACTTTCGCATATCATTGCAGTAACCAGTAGTCATGCCTAATTGTTTTCTATTCTGTGCTTGAAACTCTTGGTGTTTTATGGCACGAATGGTTCTTACATATATTACGTTAAAAATGTTTTATGGATTGTTACTTTTTCGCATTACGCAGACTTTTCGAAATGTTTACCGTTATATAGATACATTTTGTATCCGTGACTGTACCACTATATTGATGCGGCGTTCGTTATCAGTTACTTAGTGTCTGATTTCGTTGGGTACGTGACACAATAAAGTCGGCCCCCGGCAGCAAAACTGTTTATAAACCTACCTGCAATAAAATATTATTTACTCCGGGAAATTTGATTTCCTACGTGAGTGAGTATAGGCGACACGGAACGCGTGTACATAAAAAAACTGTTTTTCGATATAATAAAACTCGAGAAAACCTTTTACGACACAGCATTCACTATATTGTCTTGCCTACTACCGCGATTGAAGCGTGTATAGATGTGTACCTGTTAAGCCCTCCGGGAAAAGGTCGTTCGGTACGCCAAACCAATCATGGTCGGCTTCGGTATACACACAGAATCGCAGAGGATGTGATTTTTATTTTATATACACACACATATATATATGTGCGTATATAGATAAACTCTACCGGCCAAATATAGTAGACGGGATAAAATCGAATTTCGAACGAGATCGAAAAAAGTATGATATTATATGTAGTTTTCTTTTGTCGCCCATAAAAACGAATCCTCGAAATTTCAATGCACTCGTGCACATCTGTGTCGTAAATACGAAGAACACCGTATTGCGTGTGCGTATTTACAGTTTCGTTTTTTTTTTTTTCGTTTTTGGCTTGTGATTTAGAAAGAAATAGGACAACAAGTAGTAGAGATGATTGTTTTTGCGCACTAAGAGTCTGAATATAGGGTAATAGTAAATAATTACAAAACGAGTCAATGGCGTGCCCGAGAATTGGTCGTCAAACTTTTTGAACTTTCGGGCCACGTTCACAAGTTAAAAAGGATTCGCGGACCAGACAATATACAATATTCGTATAGTGTATTAGTATATATTACAAAAAAAAAATATTGTCTAAAACTTTAAAATAATAAAATGTGTTAAATAGCAATTACAGCTTTTAATAAAATAAAATGGAAACACGAAAGACACAAACTGTTTAATAAAATGCTTAATGCAATTTTAGATTCTGAATGGAGTGAAGAAGCTTATAGTTTTACAAAGATGTTTATTTTCCCCCATAAATCTCGCTCCGATTTTTAAGCGTGGGTAGCATTTTATCTGGGAGGAAATCGGCGCGGTGAGGTACTTTAAGAAAATTAATTTTCGATTTTCTCATTAAATTTGAAAAACTGAAAAAAAAAATGAAAAAAGGGAAAATATAAGAAATGTAGGTCTTAGTTAAAATATAATACGTTTTTTTTTCACAACTTTTCTACCAGAAATTTTGCTGGGGGGAGGGTAATTTAAATACGATTATTTTTCGATTTTTTCAAGAGTTTTCTCATCAAATTTGGAAAACCAAAAAAAAAAACGGGAAAATATAAGATAGATATATTTTTTGTTATTTCTTCATAATAATAACTATTAAAAGCGATTAAAACTATTAATATTAAAAGCGAAAAAATTTGTCTCCTGCAAAAGCCTGCGCTTGTGAGGGATAAAAGTTTATTATGTTTCTCAAATTTATATACGTGTCATTACCGTTTAAAAATTTAAAAACAAATAAAGACGAAAATAAAAAAAAAACTATATATATATATATGTGGTTTCAAATTAAATGTTAAAAACAAAATACAAATTAAATATTCTTATAAATTCTTATTCGTATTAATTTTTTTTTTTAAAAAAGTAAATAAAACTGACTTATTAGTTACTGTTTGAATTTGATACGTTGCCACTTTATAAATAACATATTTCTTATACATGTTTAAGTTATCAAAACTGTTTACATAAATACAAAAAAAAAATGGCAATAATATAAACTGATAAAATAGATATTTCGTTTACCGAACTCAATATTACATTTATACATTCCAAGAGTGTTATTTACAATTTGACGTTTACCATAACTATGCTTGTAACTAAATTCTTTATAATTATAGGAGTACAAGTTACATAAAAGTTAAATATAAAACACTAAGTTGTTTAAGTTTGAGTATATTATAATATTTATACAGAATATCAGAAATTTATCGTGGATATATATTTTTTTTTTTTTTTAGATGTGCATTATACGATCTTCCTAAAGCTGAAATGCCATAGTTAAAAACTGTTTGAGCAAGCGTACAAAAAACCATTCGCATGGTTTTTGGTAATAAGATATTCCTTAGGGTTCTGAATTTGTTGAAAACACTTCCAATTTTGTTTAGTCGGCAAAACACGTAATCAAACCATCACATTTTAATTCTATTAGATAATTAATATATAGTCTATCCAATGAAAAGTAGAGGTCCCGGGACAGTTCCATGTGGAACTCCCCAATTAAAAGTGTTACAGTTACTGAACACGTTATTTATTTTAACTCTTCGACTACTTTTTTTGTTAAAAAAACTTTTGATGCGATTATTCGCAACACCACGAATTCCATAATTGTATATTTTTTTAATAATAAATTATGATTTGCAAAATCAAAGGCTTTTTCGACATCGAGAAAAATACCAATTACAAAACAACCCTCATCAAGTTTTTCATGGATATAACTTACTTAATATTCTGTAGAGCTTTAGACGTATTTTTATTTTTTCTGAACCCAAATTTATTATCAGAGAAAATATGTGATTTTTCGAGTTTATATAATATTGATTTTTATACATTTTACAAAAAATGTTTCTAAAAGGAATTTTAAAGGAAATTTGAAAAACCAAAAAAAAAAAAAAAAAAACGAAAGGAAAACGGGAAAACATATTAGAAATTTAGGTGTTATTCATGTTTAATTTTTTTTTTTAAGAGACTCTTCTAAATATTTAGCGAGGTTTATAAGATGGAACAGTTTTAAAGTTAATTAACGGACGAATCGGATTATTTTGTTTATGCAATTTTGTGGATGGATATGATGTGTGGCGTTTGTTTTTTGTAATCGGATTTCAAAAATATTTTTTCGGACTTTAGGTGTAATTTTATTTGAATTAGTTAGCAGTTTATTAATTAGTTTAGTGTATAATATGGTTGGATCATAT